TTGGTATAACATAAAAAAACAAGTATTTTAATAAAATTTTGAATGTAAGACACTAAAACCTAGTGTCATGCGCAGTAAAGGGTACCCGAGCTGAAAGGATTAAGGGAAAAATATCTTCACACTTTACTTTAACAATTCCACAGTGGTGTCTTACATTTCCCATCTAGGTCTCTTTGTTTTTGATCTTCTTTATTTGGCCCACTCCCCTCATATCATCCTACTAGATTGCTATGTTCCAGAGGTGATGAAGTTGCTGGCAGATCAATTGTCTCAATCCAACCAGATTCTCCCAACAGAAAGGATGTTGCATAGAGAGGTTTTCCATTGGATTTGCTCTCAGTTTGGGACACTGATGTTTGATGTGTTTGCTACTCATTGGTACACTCAACTACTGGCATTTTAGTCTCCAGTATCTCACCTTTGGGCATTGGCAATAGATGCATTCAGTTAGGACTGAATGGTATTGCATCTCTGTGCTTTTTTACCGATTATTATGTTTTGTACAGTACAAAGATAGAGGGTACATTGATGCATAGAGGTGGAGAGTGTCACAAGACAGATATAGCCAAGAGTAATTAAGTGGGAAATAAAATACTGGATCAAGTGAGAAAAAATCAAACCAATGCTTAGATTGGCACAGGAAGGAAACCCTAGCAGTTGAGTAGTAACTGTAGTGTGAGGGGAGATAAGTATTATTGGAAATACATTTTTGATTTAAGAAAATGTTAACATTCATTGGCAACTCATCAGATATCCCTTTCTACTTTCTTCTTCAATGGGGGGGTTCATATTTCTTCCACCTGTCCGGATGGGCATGTCTTCACAGATGCCTCGTTGTCAGGATGGGGTGCATACTGCATTACACAGGAGATCTCAGGCCATTGGTCTCAGGAGGAGTTGCTGTTCATAGGGTGATAGTTCATTTTCTGGCATTTCTGTGGGGCAATGCAGTTATGATTGATTCTGTTAACTCGAAGGTTGTCTCTTACATCGCTAGTCAAGGGGGCACTCGATCCCATTTTTTATTTTCCTGCACTCTAGATCTCACCTTCTGGGTTCACAGCCATCAAATTTGTTTGCTGGATTGTCACATTCTGGTTGCCCTCAGTCTTGTTACAGATCATCTATCCCATCGTGATAAGATTCTATTCATGGAGTAATCTCTCGACCTCAGATATTCCGGTGTCTATGTTCTAAGTTGGATCCTCCACAACTAGGTTAATTTGTCTCCCCTTGGAATGTCTACCTTCTTCTCCTTTGGTTCAATCAGGATTGGAAGGACCTTTCCTTTATGTATACTTTAGCATCAGTCTTCTACCCTGAGTAATTTCTCTCATCCAATCCACTAGATGTCAGGTCTTTCTTGTGGCTCCTTTCTGGTTGTCTCATCTGTGGTTTTCCATCTCTGTCATTTCTCCTGAAACAACCTCCATTACCTCTCTTACATTCCCTACTCTGGCAACCTCACTCAAGGATGCTTCATTCCTCCGTTCCCATGCTCCGGCTTCACATGTAATTTTTGTACAGTCCCGTGTGAGGGGTTTGGGACTATCTATACATGTAGCATCCCTATTGTTTCACACCATCCATTCCTTATCCATGTCTGTGTATTATTGTAATGGGAGAATATCCCATCTTTAATCTATCTGGCATGGATTATCCCCTTCATCAGATATCTATTCTTACAAGCAGTGCTTTTCAACCATTGCAGGCTATAGAGCAACCCTGTCATCTCCCTTTTGTTTTTCCCATTTTTTGTTAACTTTCCTCTCCAGTTATTCCCCTTTCTCCCATATCTCATATTTACTCTTGATCTGATCCAGATCATCTCCTGTGCCTGGTCTGTGCTTTAGAATGTTATGTGTCGCACACAGCAATCTTCTGTGGTTCTCACTCCTGTTCGTTTATCCATTGGAATTTGTCCAATTCTTGTGATATTTCTTCTATCAACCTTACCAGTTAGGTTTGTCAGGTTATCCATATTATGTATTCCTCCCCTTTTTTTAAATCTTGCCAATTGTTCTATATATTGTCCCATCTGCTTTGTCACCTCCCAGTGCCCTTGGCTGCTCATTTTTGTCATTCTTTGGAGGTGATTATCCAAGTTGGAATGTGGACCATTCTCCACACCTTGGTGTTGTGCTGCTTACACCTTGTGGCAGTTTCCTGCTCAGCTGGATATCATTTTCCCCCTATAGCTGTTCTCCATACATTGGTACAACTCTGAGTGGATAAGTAATTTTTGTTTCATTTTTTTTTCACAGGCCTACTTAACATTTTATGGATCCCACTCTGTGACAAGTGGTGTCTGTCCAGGTACACTGATATCCAAAATTTGCACTGTGAGATCTATTACGTCTGTCATACTTACTGTTGAGGTGGGGTATTCCACAAGACCACTTGTAGGTTCTTCCTCAAATTATATTACATCATAAATATGCACTAACATGAGTAAAGCAGAAAAAGATTGCTGCCCATCTCTAACGTTTCATAGACTACCAGAATTGAGTACAGTCTGCTTTTCAAAATAGGGTTTTGTGGTCACCCATTGACTTTCTCTATGATGTTTTTTTCAGACTCTCCAACTTGTTTCTTCCCCCTTTCTTCTAGTGGAGTACAGGAGTCCTTACTACTTCCCTGCTCTTAGCCACTGGGGTGGTGAATCATAGAGAAATCCTCCTGAGTGTGCACAATTCCACTCAGTTGAGAGTAGGGCAGTGGCATTCTGCCTGCATAGAAGGCTTGACTATCCTCCTGCCTCAGGTCTGTTCTTTTATTCCAGATGCCACCAGTCTGGACTGGATTTTTTGGTCTATTCTGCAGTTTGCCCCTCTGGCTTTGACATCAGTTCCTGGGTGGCTGGTTTTGGTTAGAGCTGGACCAAGTAACATAAGTCTCACATGTAAGTGGCCCAAAACTGATTGATTTTGGACTGAAATTGACCCTTCATGTTGCATTTCCACCTTCCTGACATTGTTTAGATGTACGTTCCTGGGGTTTATTGTTCCAGTGTGTGTGTGTTGGATTTGCACACATATTGGTTTAAATTCTCAGAATGGAGGCTCCTCTTCCTTTTTGGTTTCTACACCTGAGGTAAATGGTTGAGGACCCTCCTCCTGCTAGGGGCCAGTCGAGTTCCTTTCAGAGCCTCTGTTCTGGACTGGAGTTGACCTCCCAATTACGGTCTGATGCACCCTAACCACTCTACACACATTCTTCTTATTTTGGGGTTTGGGATGGATCACTAGTTCCAACCTTTCATTGCGACACAATGCCAGTTGTCTCAACTGGGGCAAAGATTATATCTGGTTCAGATGTGGTGCAGTCTCCCACAGGTATGTTTTTCCTCTACAAAGAGGTAGCACACTCCATGGGTGCTCTTCAGATGCTTTTGAAAGGTGCTCATCTTGGTCATTTTACACTGGTTCTTCCACCTGCTCAATGTGGGATTCTAGCAGTAACTGTGAGGGGAGGTAACAAATGATAACGGAAGTTCATATTTTCTTACACTGAAGATATATTTCTGGTAGATACTTACATCCTCTCGCACTTTCCACCTATCCTCCCCACTTCAGGTGTTGTTTTTCATGCTTAATCTCGAAGTGACAATTGGGTTCAACTGCATAGAGGGAGTCAGCCGTGATAGGAGGGTGTTACACTCCTATTGATGGAGGGTTGTCACATGCTAATTTGCATTCTTAAATGCAACTGAACCATGTGTTATACATGTAGAATTAGGTGGGAGTTCAAGGCTAGTGGGAAACAAAAATTTTCACAGTTAACTCTAAAATAGCTGTAAATGTGTGAGGAATATCTATCAGAAATATATTTTCAGTGTAGGAAAATATAATTTTTTTTTGGGGGGGGGGTCTTTAAACCCAAACTTTGTTGTAACCAATGTCATAAATGGTGAAGATTAGTCCTTTTAATTTTTTGAATTGGAAATTTGAGTATGTTTTTAGTATTTATATTTTTAAGAATGCTTCTTTAGTTATTCATAAAATAGGCTGGTATTTTGTTTTAAATGTGAAATATACTTTTTTATTATTTGTAGACTTGGCAAAGAACCCTCAGGCACAACAAATGAACAAGTATTGTATGCCAAAAAACTTTATGAATCAGCATTTCATCCTGATTCAGGAGAATTACAAAATGTGTTTGGACGAATGTCGTTTCAAGTTCCAGGAGGTATGGCCATCACTGGCTGTATGTTGCAGTTTTACAGGTATTGTGTGTACACACACTCACAAATCATATATATACAAAGGTCTTTTGTTTTTATTACAAAAACTTGTTGGTATCTAAACACAAAGAAATAGTATATGATTTTTAAGTATTGAATAAGCAATATGTATGACCTTTAAACTCTATAAAATAGTTAATCAAAATGAGGTAATTGAACTTAGTGAGTGTATTGTCTTTTTCATTATAACAAAAAAAAATTCAGATACTGTTATTTACCTCTGTATACCACTGAGAGCTATTAATTTGCACACAACTGCCATGGAATTTCGTCCACATACTACAAGTTGTTTTGAACAAATTCTCACCCATACACATGTATACGTGAATCGCACCAACCTATGATGTAATTGTCAATGTAGTAGCCCTCCACCAGTAGGAGGGCAACATGACCTCCATGTGCAGTAATCTCCATGAGCACTAGCACATGATCATAGGCTACTTTTTTCCTTGGCATTGCATGTATTCAGATGTTTTTTCCTTTGGTTTTAAAGTTTCTAGCTGCTTTCTTTAGTGCTGCATTACTTTTGTTCTTGTTGCACTTTTGTTTCATTCACCCAATTGTAACTTTATTTTCTCTAGCCACCACATTTCTACTTTAGGTTATTTTCAACAATGTATGGAAGTAATATATATATATATACTTACATGTGACAGGTCTCAAATTTCTCTCTGTTGCAATGTGTTTTTGACATCATGAATAACTTAGCTTCCACAACATTGTTGAGCTGTTATGAACCATGGTAAATCATCAAGTAAAGTGGTGATTTTCCTGCTTTCATCATCAGGTGGTTTGTTTCCTTTTGCTTATTTCTTCATCATTTCAGGTTTCTGATCATTTTGTTTCTTTGCCTTCTGTGGAGCCTGCCTCACCTATTGATGATTTTGGCTAACTTTTCCACCTCCAGCTTTTGTTTCTGGTTTTTCCCTCCCTGATAAAGAATAGGTACATCCACCTTTTCTGTTTTTATGCTCATGAATCAGGTATGTGCTTTTTTTTTACATATATATATATATAATAATGTCTCTTTGTTTGTTTTACTTCATGTGCCTCCAAACTCCATGTTTTTCTACATATTTATTGTCTTACTTGTCTTTCAACTCCTATTGCTATGGCCTCAGGTTATGTCCCTTTGATATTTCTTGATCTCAATTTCTAGTGTGTTTTTCTTCTTGGGCTGCTTCTATTTCTCCATATTTTTCTGTCTTTATAGCTATCTCTTTTATTTTTGTCTATCTTTATGCTACTCCTTTCTCTGTCCTTTACCTTGTCACTGACGCTCTTCATTACAACTTCATTAACTGTGATGAAGACACCGATTCTTCATTGTCTGCCATTTTCTTTTCCATTTTTTCTTGCCCTGTAACTATTTTGATCTGATTTCTTTGTTTTTTGGATATAATCTGTTGGATGTCTACTTCCCTTCCTCCTGCATTTGGGACTTTTTTCTCATCCTTTTGCTTACAGAACTAGTCTTTCAGGGTATTCCCAGCTTCTTGGAATCCTGGGCTTAGGCTAGCTGCCTGTAATCTTCTATTGTTTCCTTGATTTTTTGACTCATTGGTCTACAGATACCTCTGTCTGCCACACATCCGTGGGAATCATATTGGGCTACCCCTCTCCTGTTACTTATTCTTTTGTTTCTGTTCATTGTCCCCTCTCCAACATATCTAGCCACTGCGGCTCATGACAATAACTCTTTTTTTTGGAACTAATCTTGGTTTCTGGTCCCTTTTGTAACCTACTTTCCCTCTTTATCTCCCCGTGTTCTTCCGTCTCCAGGGACCCTAGGATTCAGCACATTCTTTCTCATTCAATGACGAAGAACCCACTTTGAGACTAATAATGGCTGGAGATGGCTTGAATGGGTAATGAAGAAAAACTTTAATATAAGTTTAACATAACAGCAAATATACAACATTTTGACAAGGTTTTGATGATGACAAAACCTTATCAAAACGTTGTACATTTGCTGTTATGTTAAACTTATATTAAAGTTTTTTCTTTATTACCCATTCAAGCCATCTCCAGCCATTATTAGTCTCAAAGTGGGTTCTTCATCATTGAATTATGAAAG